TGCAATTTCTTTCTTGGTTTAAAAGCTAAGGAAGAAACTATTAAAGATTGGTAGATTTAGGTACATAAAAGTTAAAAAAAAAACTTCTGCAGTGATTAATACATTTCAAATGAAGCCAAAAATAAAGTTGAAAAACATTTTGGTGTTTATAATAGAAAAAGACTTAACATTCTAAACAGAGATAGTGCTTTTTTACATCAATAGGAATCACTCAGACTCACCACAGTGCTTTGCCCATTCACATGCTATGGTCACGAGACTTAAGTCATTAATAATAGTAATAATAAAATAATACTTTTCATGATAGCTGACATCTATTGAGCATTTCCCTTGACCAGATATCTTCTTAGTGCTTATGTCTGTTAACTCACTTAACTTTTCCAACAAACTTTCAAGGGTGGCACTCTTATTTTCTCCATTTTGCAATTGAGGAGATTAGGACAAAGAAAGGCCATCCTAGAATTGTCCCAGGGTTACACAGCTAGGAAGGGGCAGAGCCAGAGTTCAAACCCAGGCTATCTGGCTTCAAACTGAGAGCTGCTTCTTTTCTTCCCTCAAGAGGAAAGACTGTGATGCAAATGGGGTTGGTGGAAGGTATAGCTCAGTGGTAGAGCTACTTAGCAAGCACAAAGTCCTGGGTTCATTCCCCCAGTATCTCCATTACATTAATAAATGAACCTAATCACCACTCCCGGCCAAAAGAATGTGATACAATTGGCCAATAAATGTATACTATAGTCAACCTTATTAATAAACGACAAAATAAAATTAAAACAATAATGATGTCATCTTTGCTAAATAGGATTCTAACACAAAAATGTAAGGAAATATTTCATCAAGACTATAAACAGGTTTAATTTATAAATATCTACAATAAGCCTTAAATTTGAACATATCTTTTTAACAAAAATTTTTATTTAAAAATGTATTTTAAGACAATTTTCAATGATTTACATAAAAATACGTGTTCAAGGATCGTCATCCCAGTGTCTTTGTTTCTGGAATATTTAGTAACTGTTTGTTTCCAGAATGTTTTATCACGTAACATGTAGAATGTATAGAAAATTAACTAATAAAACCCACCCAACCCAACATTCTTAGCGAGTCTGTTTGTTCCTCATCCTTCTAAAAATGTTATGTTCAGTACAAGGCCGATATTATTTTAAAATAGTTATGAGTCAAAAGATCAGGTAAAGGAATGTTGGTTGATTTTTATTCTCCTCTTTGTGATTTTTTCCTGCATTTGCAAAATTTTCTCTTAGAGTATGCATCATCATAAAAAAAAGTGTGACTAAGAATTTTTAAATATGTCTTTTCCCTTAGGTGTTCAGAAAAAGTGAATGGGAACATACATTTATTTCTATCCTCTGTTTAAAGTTCTATTGAAATGAGAGAAAATGCATATACTTTTTTAGCGAAGACTTTTTTATTAAAGTATACTTGATGTCCAATATTATATAAGTCACAGGTGTACAATACAGTGAGTCACAATTTTTAAAGGTGATACTCTGTTTATAGTTATTATAAAATACTGGCTATATTCCCTGTGTTGTACAATATATAGCTTACTTTATACACAATAGTTTACACCTCTTAATCCCCTACCTCTATGTTACCCTTCTTTCCTTCCTTCTCCCCACTGGTAACCATTAGTTTGTTCTCTATACCTGTGAGTCTGTTCTTTCTTCTTTTTTAAATTGGAGTGTAGTTGATTTAAAATGCCTTGGTTTCTGATGTATAGCATATTGATTTAATTATATATCTATATCTATATATCTATATATATATATATCATATCCTTTTTTAAAAAAAGAATCAAACTGCATCACACTGGAAAACATCAAAGAATGGGATTGGTACACTAAAATTTTTGAGAAATTTCTGGAGTGTTAAAAGCAGATACAATTGTAAACGCACAAGACAGCCACACTGACACAGACACACTCTCGCAGACACGCATAGCAGCAGCACAACCACCATACCCAAGCTTGGGATCAAAAAGCTGGAAGGAACTTTGAGACATAGTCAAAGCAATTAAATTATATTGATGATTAATTAATTAACCTCATGTCAATTGCTTGATTTTGGGGCTTTAGTGCCCTTCCCCCAGATAGAGAGCAGCTAAGAGCAGCCATCTTTGCTCCCGGAATCAAGCCCTCCAAATTCATCCCTAGAAACAGTGGATGTTCTGCTCCAGAGAAGCTCACCAGGAGAGGACTGGAGCCTGAGGAAGAAGCAGAGCAGAGCTTCCAGACCTCCGGTCTTCCCAACAAAAACAAAAAAAGAAGAACAACATTAAAACAAGAAAGATGAATACATTCAGAGATAGAGAAACGAAAACAAAAACAAAAATAGTCTTCCTCAAAATCAGGCTGTCCAGTCTGCGATGTGGGGGACGTCAGGCCAATAGCCCGCTTGTGGCCATGGCTCCCTGTTACAAAGTAGGCTGACTCTTGACCCCCCCACCCCTGGCCCCTTCTTGCAGAGGGTAATGCACTGTTCAAGGAAGAGAAGTATTGCGCTAACAGGCCTTACAACTGCCCGTGAAGCCCATACCAGCTATGTGTACCAATTGGTCCAGACAGCAGTGTCCAAACTTTATCTTGTATGAGAATCACCCAGGAGCTTGTTAAAAATGGAGATTCCTGAACCCCGGTCCTGGAGACTGGGATTCAGCAGGTCTCAGGTAAAGTCTAGGAATGTACATTTTAGCAGGCATGCCAGCTAATTCTGATGCAGGTGGGTTAGTGTATGACATAGAGCACCTATAAATGACAAAAACTAACAAGTGAGTAAACAACAACAAAACAGAAAACAAAACTTTGCCAGAAATAACCAGATGATTTCTCTGGGACCAGAACTGACTTGAAACTGAATTTCTTTGTCATCAGGCTCCTGTTTTTCATTTGTGAATGTGGATGATCAGAACTGTCACCTATCTTTCATTGATTTTTAAGGATTGACAAGATGTTATTTGCAAAGAGATTTGGTGGATAAGCCATTTCATTGACTTTGCACAAAGTTTTTTTTTTTCAGTTATCAATTTGTAAATGATTTTAACTAATTATCCCATGCTTACCTATAATACAAGCAATTATAATATTTTATGGCAAGAGTAGCAAATACCCTGATGCTATCACAGCGGTTTGTGTAATTATTTTTTTATTCTACCTAACACGCCAGAAACATGTAGTGTGACACACCAAAAGTGTGACACAACCAAAACTGTCTCCAGACATTGCCAGATATCCCCTGGGGGACAAAACTGCCCCTGGCTCAGAAATACTGTTGTAATGCACAGTGAATTATTCTCAGGTTTTGGGAGGGGGCACAAATAAAGAATGGGAAAGAAAAATTGGCTGGAAAAGTGTTTGTGGTTTTGTGAGGCCTAAGGAATATGAAACAAAATTGTGATAATACTATTGCACAAATAGGAGAACAGATGGTCAGTAGTGCCACTGGACCCTGGGCAAGTGATTGTCTATTTTCTCATCTATATAAAGGAGAACAATACTGCTATCTCATAGGGTTAATTGTAGAGATTAGTCATTTTATGTACTTAGAAGAGTAAGTGGAATGTAATAAAGCACTTTATAAATGTTTTTATTTATCAGTATTATTATTACCATTATTTTCTTGCTTGAGTAGGGTATTGTAACAGGTAATAATTGTAAGTAACTTATTCAAAGTGAAGATTTTAAATAATAGTGACCACAGAGAACTCTGTTTTGAAAAAGAACACACAAACAAAAAAAATCCCACTTAAATCTTTGACAGAATAAATAGAAAGTGAACTTTACTTGGTAATTTTGCAGGTGTGTACCTATGTGTGTTGTTGGATAATTTAGGTCTTGCTACTTTAGAAAAGCACATAGAATTGTAATACAGATACATAATATAAACAACAAAAACAGGAACATTTTCAGACACATAGAATTAGAAATAAAAGTCAGCTCTTCCTGGTGCTTCAGAGCTGGCCAGTCATTGGTAATCTGTGAGGTTTAAAAGCAACCCAGTTTTCACTTTGGCACTCAAATGAAAGCTGGTGGTGACAAATCTCAGGTCTTTATTGTCAAGAGGAGGTGTGGAAGGGTTGTGTTTCTTCTGAGAGTTGTTCCTTCCCAATTGTATCAGATTCTAGGAGACTCAATATTCAACTCAAATGTCTGTGAAGCAAGGTCTTTAACATCTTGATGATTGTGCCTCTGAGAAAGATAAAGGAAAAGGCTACACACACACACACACACACACACACACACACACACACACACACACACACACACACACACACACACACACACACACACACACACACACACACACACACACACACACACAC